CGGCGACAGGCTCCGCCCACAGGAAGTCAGTAATGGCATAGAGAACACCCTCCTCTCCCTCTTGCTTAGTTTTAATTTAATTCACTTTTTAAAAAAAATTTAAGAGATTTTTATTTTTAGACAAACAAACAAAACATAAAACCATCTTCCAGTTACATACAGTGTGTTGGTTGGTTACAAAACTTTTGTGCATCCTCTCCATAGTCCTCACTTACAATTTATATAGAATCTCATATTATCAATCTAGTATATATGCATAGGTTATTAGCATTGTTAATCATTTATTTGACTATAACTATTATTTCTTCATTTTATGCGAGATATTCTGAATTTTGAATTAATTTATATTAGGACATTTCATTACATCATCCTAAATCCATCCAATAGTAGTATATCTTTATATTATATTCTGTATCACTCCATTATCCTTATATTGTAAAATTCTTTAAAAATTTCATTTCCATACTTTTTTGTCTAACCATTGATAAAATAAATCCCATACCTTATAAAATTGTTTATCTTCTTGTTCTCTCTAATTTCAAATGTCAATTTTGGCACATTCCATTATTTTCAATTCACTTTAAAATTTAAAATCTTTATTGTTTTAATGTTTTATTCTGAATATTGTCCAATGTTTATAAGCTAACTAACCTCTGGTGGGATGGGTAGTATACAAGAGAGAGACAGACAGACAGCGGAGTCCTCCACAGTATTCCTTTGGAAACAGTTGAATTCGAAATGGTTTTTTTCCCCTCCTCAACCACATTGGCTTCCAGTATGCTTGAAGCAGCCTTGATGGCTCCTGCCTATTCATATGAATTCATATTCATATTCATAAGAGCCGTTGTGGCACAGTGGTTAGAATTCAATACTGCAGGCTAACTCACTGCTCACTCCAGGAGTTAGATCCTGACTGGCTCAAGGTTGACTCATCCTTCCGAGGTCAGTCAAATAAAAACCACTTAGGGAAAATCATGAAGCAGTATATACTGTATTTTTTGGAATATAAAACGCACAACCCCCACCCTAAAAGAGGGAGAAAAATTGGGTGCATCTTTCGAAAGCATGTAAAAAACCAAGTAGAAAAATAGGAACCATCTTTGGTGGGAAGGTAAGAGCAATAGCAGTTAAACTTATATACCGCTTCATAGGGCTTTCAGCCCTCTCTAAGCGGTTTACAGAGTAAGCATATTGCCCCCAACAATCCGGGTCCTCATTTTACCCACCTCGGAAG